AGAGCAAAGCCTGTTCACTAAGTGAGTGTTTCTTTCTGTGTGATTTGTGGATTGACATTTTCTTTGGCTTCAGAAAATAAAAGTACTCTGCAGTCATAGACCCCTCAATTTTGATAGGTAAAAAGGCATGAAAAAATGTTCTGGAAGAAGAAATAGTGATCTTTGAACTTGCATGTAGGTGTGTGTGTAGGTGTTCAGTTACTCAAAGCAAGAGATAGAGCAAACATAGGTGTTAGGCTGTAGTGGAGATACAACCGTGTTTTGTAAATAGAATATCCATGGAAAAGTTACAAATCCTTATGGCAAACAAATGAAGTGGGCAGAAAAAAAAAAGTACACAGTCAGTCTTGTGAAGAGATATTTTTCTCATTGCGGTTGTCACTAATAGAAGTTACACACAAGCAACAATAAATCAGAGATGCAATCTTACAAACATGTACAGAAAAATGACAAAAATATTGGTTCTGCACAGTATATCATAGAGGCTAACCATAAAACCAGTTATTTGTACCCTGAAATAGCCATCTCCATTAGCTACATTGTTATAGAAGTAAGCTAAATTAAATACATAGCACACTATAGAGCTATTACAGCTTAATGGCTTTGTAGGAAATACTCAAAGAAATAGATGTTGCCTGAAGTTTTGAGTATTTTGTATGGTTTTATTGTTCGTAATGGAACTTCAAGGGAAGAATGAAAGTTTTAAATTTCTGGTTTTCTTATTACTGATTTTGAAATGTTCTAATTGCTGCATTTCAAAGCATCTGATTTAAATAGCGGATACCAGTAGTGTGCAGATCCTGAAAACTCCACTAGCTTTGTTGCTGTGTGACTGACTTATTAGCAAAGCTGCATTAGAATGTAGAATTTTTTTACTTTATGAGACCTTCATGAGTATGTAGAATGTGATTCTGACACGTCGAATCAGAATGTTATCACTGTCCTGACAAGCTGAGCTTTTCCTGCTTCTCTCTCACATAAACATGGGAGCTGTTTAAGTTCATGTGTTTTGGACTTGTACTATGCTTACAATTACAAAATATATTCCAAAAGGCTTCTTGTGATTATAAAACATTAGTAAAGATCTTATGTGGGATAATTTCTGCGTGGATTTTTTAGAGAGTCTTATATATGTATTTTAGACTTTCAGTAGGGCAAAAATTGTATAATATTTATGCCAGGTGCAGTATAAAATAGTGATACAAAGAAAAAATAATCTTCAGTTACTGTTAGAATTAATTAAACGAGTGGAGAAAGGGAAGGGAGAAACATAATTCCTGTTCACTTGTGGTATTATCATGACATATCATATACTGTTGCTCTTTGAAGGCTGTAAATTTACTTTCAGTGGTGCAAAAATGGAATATTCTTTAAATAGCCTCTGGTAATTGCAGTGTTTTGAGACCTTTGAATAAAAGACTCTGTGATTATTCCAGTTATTAGTAAAGGCTTTTTCTACATAAGAAAAAATACCTTTTATGAGAAAGTTCATGGTTTTCCTTTGCAAACACAATCTCTTTTTAATTGTTTGGCGCCACAGAGTGGTAAAATTTTATATTGCTCTAAATAATCAGTTTCTGTAAGAGTTTCAAAGTGATAATTGGATCATATCTTTGTTAAATAAGCTTAAGATAGAAAATATTCTGCAAATCTAATAAATTACTGTATATAGACATAAGCTCAAAAAGATTAAAAGTTAAGACTTAAGTTTTCCAACAGAAATTTTGGAAATTCTGCTTGAAATATATCCTTTGAGAGGAATTTGTATTGATAGTGGTTGGTCAAAATGTAGAGTCTTTGAACACAAATCCAGCAGGCTTAGAAAAACTCTTGATGAATTGCAGAAACATGTTTGGACCTCGTCGTAAAAACGGCAGTACCAAATAAGACCAAGGGTCCATCTAGCCTGGTATCTAGTCTCTTGACTGTCAGTTGTTAATGCTTGTTTAATTTGATGCCCCATAATTTCAGTCCTAGAAGAGACAGTGAAAAATGATTTGGAAATTTGGAATTTTCTTACCTTATTCCTGCTCAGTAGTCTTTCTTTGAAAGTGATGAGTCCCTTTAATACAGAAGCCGTTCAGTGCCTTTGATCATTCCTACCTGCCTTGTACTTTTGGCAGTCCTACTAAAAGGCTATACAACAGGACTATGCTTTTTGAAGTGGAGGGATGAATACTGCATGCAGCATTCAAATTGCAGGTAGATTTAATGGTGTAATTATGTTTTCTGTGTGTTGTTATTATTATTTTCTTCCTAGCGATTTCTAATAATCTGGGTTTTGCTTGCAGCAAGATTGCTGGCTCTAGACACCCAGGAGGGCACAGTGGAGAAAATGCATCTGTAATTCAAGGGTCTGTTGCTCCTTGCCAGCAGAACAGAAATTATGAAAACTTGTCCTTTGAGCCTAAATTACTCGTGCCTGGTTATCTACTCAGCGATACAGATGTTTTTGGAGCTGCATGAACATGCCTTTTTACAGAGGTACGTGAGCTAGTTCTAAATAAATTATTTTGGTTACTGAAAACTTAGAGCTCGTGAGAATCGGAGCAGTTAAACTGCATAGGTATTACATACCATTGTTTCATTTCTTGAAATCACCTTTAGCTTTACTGAGATAATTCTTTGCTATTCAGTGTAGATTCTTCAAGCAGCTTCCTCTAAGAGAAACAGAAAGTTACGAAAAGCTTTTCCACAGAGAGATGGAAAATAAGATAGAATACATGCAGCAGCAGCCCTACATGGGGTTTAATTGGGGAACTGGTAGAAGTTGAATATGAAAATCATAAAAAGAGGGTGGCTGAGGAGGCCTGAAAGAGGTGGAAGGGATTATGGCAGTTGAGCATAATGAACTGAAGACTTAAATTAGCCTTTTGGAGACTTTGCTTACCCTAAATGAGGACACACTGTATAAGCCCGGAGGGTTAAATCATACGTATGTGGGGGATCAGTCAGTCTGGAGTGATTCGGTTGCAGCAGGAGATAGTCCCCCCATTTTAAGCAGGCCTCTGTGAAGATACATAGCACCAAGTAGTGGTGTTGCTGTCCCAGCAACTGAAAAGAGAGGGAAAATCAACCAGCCAACAGAAAAAGAAAATGTTTCTATGTATTTAGATGTGAGTAAACTTTCCCAGCTCCTTTTGCCACTGTTGTCAGGAGTGGTGAAGGAACACCACTAGGCACTTGGGGATTTGGGGTTACTGTGAAATTTACTGATAGGCAAAAGTCAAGGAATGTGTTTTCCCCCTCCCCCATTTTTTTTCTGCTTATTTATTTATATATTAAATTTTCATTGAAACATGACAACTGCATTGTCCTGGCCTTTGCAACAACCACTTTCAGAATAAGTGCAAGATCTCTCCATGGCTGGATATGCCTCCTGGACCGGCAAGGACCATCTGTACTGCTCGCAAGTTCCGTACTTGTCTCTAAATTTATACTCGGCAGAGGAGTCAGACAGGGGAGCTGTGAAAGGCGAGCCTTGGAGAGGCTGAAATCTGAAAGGAAAACAAAACCAAAAACTTTTCAGGCGCAAAGGGGGGCCCCGAGCCGCCGGCCCCTTCCCGCGGCCCCGCGCTCG